AACGAAATTATGGTTGCCGTATATCAATCAAAATAGACACTTGATCGTACACAGTCAGTTAATTGCATAGGTACATTATCTCGACCGACTCGATCAGAGAACGTAGGAAAAACCAATTACGTTATAATCGTTGAATTTCTCGTGAGCAATAATAATACGGTGAAATGGATTCTATTTTTATAGCACTATCGTAAATGACCATGTTAAAATATTTAATTATGAAATATTCGTTCATTTTGTTCTATTCTGCCGTTGGAGAAGTTTATGTCAACAACTATAGTTGTTGAATAGCTATTCATTGAACTCCATAAACCATAGGTAAGTATTTAGTTAAGATTAATTTGAATTTATAACATTAAATTCGTTTATTAGCAAAACATTAATCGTTTAAAATATTAAATTGAATTATAATTACACAAGACTGATCGAGTTAATGATTTTTTTTTTTTTTTAACTCAATTAAGTTAATATGCATACTGTATATAGTATATATTGTATTTTTAAGTACAGAACTTACCTATCTAATAAGTAATAAGTAATAAATAATAATAAATACCTAAAAATAATAAATATAAATTAGTATTATATATTTTAGTTGTCTTTCAAACAGATATTATATAGGCCCGCCGCCTATATACGCCACTTAATATATATTTATATATATACTTAAAATAAATAGTAATCATGGCTGAAAAAAAACAATCGAAAATGCAATATTTTTTTTCAAAACCACCTTCTATAATGAATTCATTGTCAAATTCATTGAATGCAACTCAAACAGTTATAAGCTCCTCTAGTTCCTCATTACCATCAACTGTATCTGCATCTGATACACCTATCACTCAGTTCACACCTTCGACTACAGATATTAATCGTACATCTTCCAGTTATAATATTTTTGACATTGCATATTACACAAATAAATTGTTAAAGCAAAGTGAAATAGAAGAAATGTTGAGCAAAATTTGGGTCCCTGATATTAATTACAATTTTCCTATCAAAATATCAGTAGTCGGTAAACAACAAAAAGTTTTAAAGTTGAAATTTCAATATAAATGGCTTATTAGCTTTCCCTGGTTGGCTTATTCAGAAGTAAACAGTAGTGTGTTTTGCAAATATTGTGTTGCTTTTACTAAAACTGAAGCCGGTGTTAATAACCAAAAATTGGGAGCATTTGTATTAATAAAATATGATGATTGGAAACATGCATTGGAAAACTTTAAAAATCATTCGAATTTAGAATATCACAAAAAGAGTTTATTAGATGCCGATAATTTCTTAAACATGCTTAAAAATCCAACAAGGGCAATCGATAAAATAATTGACAACGAAAAAAACAAACAAATATTGCAAAATCGAAAAAATATTATTCCAATAATTGAGGCAGTTATTTTGTGCAGCCGTCAAAACTTGGCATTAAGAGGACACCGTGGTTCAGGAAAAATTGAAAGCAATGAATCAAAAGTTATGAATGAAGGTAATTTCAGAGAAATTTTACGATACCGAGCTCAAGGAGATATTGAAATGAAAACCTATTTGGAAAGCTTGGGAAAGATGAAATATACTAGTCATAGAAGTCAAAATAATATGATTGATGCTTGTAACAAAATTTTATTGGACAAAGTTGTTTCTAGAGTAAATACAGCAAAATGTTTTTCAATTCTTGCTGATGAAACTGTGGATATTTCAGGAGTGGAACAGGTATCGCTATGTGTTAGATATTTCAATTCTAATACATTAAAACTTACTGAAGAATTTTTACAATTTGTACCAACTAATAATATGACTGGTAAAGGAATAGCAAATTTAATCCTAGAAAATCTTGAACAATTTGGTATCAATACGCAATATTTACATGGGCAAGGATATGACGGGGCAGCTGCAATGGCCGGAAAATTTAATGGTGTCCAGGCTCACATTAAAGAAATTCACCCAAATGCTCTATATGTTCATTGTTCAGCCCATTCGTTAAATTTAGCTGTTTCTAAATCCTGTAGTGTACCAGCCATACGCGATTGTCTTGGGACAATAAGTCAAATCAGAGATTTTTTTATTTATCCAAAGCGGAAGTCTGTTCTTATTCATAAAATAGAAAAGTCGTCCGAAACACCATCAAAAAAAACGCTTAAAAGAAGTTGCGAGACTCGTTGGATTGAGAGATACCATGCCGTTCATGACTTTTTCGAACTTTTTGAGTATGTTGAAGAAGCTTTGGAAGATATTTCTGAATGGAATGACAATGATACATCTGAAAAAGCAAGACGATTTAGAATCTCTATGTTAAATTCCGAATTTATTATTTGCTTATTTGTTTTGAATAAAGTATTTGCATTAGGTTTAGTCTTATCAAAAGTTCTCCAGCAAACAAGCATAGATCTCAAAGAAGCTATGTCATTGGCACAAAACACAAAACAAGAACTTACAGAGATAAGATTGAATGCTGAAAAAGAATTTGGAAACATTTTTGAACGTGTAAAATCACTGGCTAAGAAAATTGACATTGCGATAAACATACCAAGAATATCAAAAAGACAAACCAACAGATGTAACATTCAAACAAACAATCCAGAAATATTTTATCGAGTATCAGTATTTATTCCGTACATAGACAAATTCATTAATGAATTGGAAGAAAGATTTACAAATCACCAAAGTACATTGACAAGCTTCCATTCCTTATTTAAAGAAAGTGGTTATGAAGAAGATTTTATATTTCTTACAAAACAGTATAGCGAAGATCTAGAAGATATTGGAAATTGTGATGAGGTATTCAAAAATGAGTTCAAACTTTGGCAACGAAAACTTAAATGTCTATCAGAAACGGATAAACCAAAAAATGCAATGGACGCTATTTACATTTGTAATGAAGCCATGTACCCAAATATTTTTAAGTTAGTTAAAATATTAGCAACTTTACCAGTTTCTTCTGCCACTAATGAAAGGACATTCTCAACTCTCAAGAGAATAAAAACTTACCGACGCAACTCTACTTCTGAGGTATGTTCAATTTAAATAATAGTATTAATGATTATAATCAACTTGATTTAATGTTGTAATTAATTTTGATAGGGAAGACTTAATGGTCTAGCTATGCTCTCGATCAACAAAAATGATTCAATTACTCCTGATGAAGTGCTGGTTGAACTATCCAATAAAAAAAGGAGATTAGAATTTTTATTATAAATAATTAATAATATAATATATATAATTCTCTGTATTTACTGTGCATATTAAATAATATTTAACTGCCATGAGTTATGTAAACCTTTGTATTTGTTTTGCTGTTTTGCCTATTAATATTTATACGTGTTATGTGTTTGATTGTTAGGAAAATGGGTAGTTTTAAAGGGAAGGTTTTAGTGTTGGTTATTTTTTTTAAACCCCCCCCCCCAGAACAAATTTGAATGTACGCCACTGGCTCCAGCACCCTTACACAGAAAGACATTTTAACAGTAAGATTAACAAATTGTTTTGATTAATTATTAACAAGAATATATGAATTAAATTAACTATACTATAATTGATTTAAACAAAATATATTTGATTTAAAAGAATCCGGTTTGTTGTATTGATAATATTTTATGAAACTAACAATTTATATTTGATTACATTTTGATAAAGATGTACGCATTAATTGAACAATAATTCTTTTGATTAAAGAAACTTTTATTCGATCTGATATAATTTGGTTGGTTAAATCGATAATATTTTGTTTGAACTGATGGTTTATATAATTTGATCTATTTTTAGAAAAAACGTATTGTCTTTCCCAAATGAGGTTGAAATTATTAATACGTTTGTTTGATTTAAAAAAAAGTTTTGTTAATATCGAATTTTAACAAAAACTTTTTGTTATTATTATTGATGGTTACATGATGTTGGTATTCATTTCTATTATTTTTATGGGTATGAAATTTTTATTTTCATTTCGTTCTCCGATGTGATTTGTCATTTTTGAGTTTGTGACACTCTTACAATCCAACGCTCAAGAAGTACCACCTATAACGGAAATAGAAAGTACCTAAAACAGGTAGGTATACACGTACAACAGGTAATAAACATAATATAATATTGTATTAAAATAATTATTTATTTTTATTTTTCTTAGTTACTGTAAGTAGGTACCTACATACTTTAACAATAAAAGCAATCTAAAATGATTTGTTTCATATGTAAAAAACATCTACTCACATTTGTTTCTTTGATTGCTCATTATAAAATTATACATTTACTAGGACTTCATAGCTCGTATACATGTATTGAAAATAATTGTACTCAATCTTTTCAAACTATGAGTAGCTTTAAAAAAACATTTCATTAAAAAACATAGCATTAAAATCCAATTAGATAAGACAGAGCAAAATAATGAAAAATTAATTAATGATGATATTGTCAATTTTTGTGATGTTCAAATGGTTAGTAATGAGGTTAGTAATGATGAAATATTTAAAAAATTTCAAAATTTACCTAAAATACCAGTCATGAAAGAAATTGATATTAATAAAAGTATTAAGCAATTACATATATCTGCAGTCAGATTTGTTCTCTCTTTACATAATAACAATAACTTTTGTAGAAGTGATGTGTTAAATATTATTGATAATATTGAAGATAAAATTATAAAACCAATAAATCTTGAAAACAATCGTTCTATGTCTGTGGCGTTAGAAAATAACAGCAGATACCATTGTTATAACTTTCCACACCGAACACCGAAATAAAGGTAATTTATATTAAAACTGTACCACATTGATAAATTTATGTGTAGGTATCCAACTATTATAGTTGTATTTGTTTTAAAGGAAATATACTTTACAAAAGATGGCGCAAAAAAATGCCCTAAAGGAAAACTTTATTCTAAATATTTTAATAAACTAAGAAGCTTCAAGAGCTAAGGATTTGTTGTATCAAAATTATAAAACAATACTGAAAGCGAAATTCAAACACGTGTTTTTGAGGAATCAAATATTGAATTAGGTAATACCAGATCACTAAAATTTATTGTTCCTATTAATTAGTTAACAATTTTTATTTTATTATTTATAGTAACTAAAGATGATGCCATTACCCTTATGGCTGGTTTAAAGCATGAGGAACTATCATGGCCTGAAATTGAAAATATTTGGAAAACAACTACGGGTTACCGATTACAACAAATTAAAACAAATCATTTATCAACTGGAATTCAAAATACATGGCCTCAATACACTCAGCCACTTGGGTATAAACTTGTAAGTAAAAACGGTTATTATAATAATTTACTAATATAGGCACCAAATAATTTATTATAACTTAATAACCATAAAAATACATTTTTGTGGAATTATGTTTTATTTTATTTATAACAAACTAAGTCTACAGTAAAACATATAACATAATCAAAATTAACAAAGCCAAAGTATTAAATAAAATGTTAATAATTGACAACCAGTTTCTAGATTTTTATCTTGATTATATTATAGTTTATTTAGTTAGTTTTACCTACCACTGTGTTTATACTGAACAAAGTTGTCAAGTACCACTTCAAGATATTCTTAACCACACTACAAAACGAATTGTATCAAGTATAGAAATATTACATAATAATGAATGTAAAGATTTTGAAATGTTGTATAAATGGGGCTGTGATGGTTATAGTAATCACTCGCAGTATAAACAGTCATTTCATACAGACATAAGTATAAGTGATACAAGTAGTTTTACAGTTTCGTTAGTTCGTTGTGAACAACAACGAAAAAATTGTACTTTGGTCTAATTCTAGATATTCTTCTACTCGTTTTTGTCGACCGTTAAAATTTATTTTTATAAAAGAAAATAATGATAAAACAATCGAAATGTATACAGAAATTGAAGATAAAATATCTAGATTAACTAATACAATAATTTATATTAATGATATATCAATTGTAAGCATAAAGCATACACTAATTTTTTCAATGATTGATGGCAAGGTAATGTTATTTATTTTATAAATGTAGCTTATTTTTAAATAATATTTGTATCCTCAGGTTTGTAGTGCAGTAACAAATACATCATGTCAAACATGTTATATATGTGGATGTAAATAGTCACAAATGAATAATTTAGATCAAGTTTTCGAGTGATAGATTAAAACGGAAAACTTTAAATTTGGATTATCTGAGTTACATGCTCATATACGATTTTTAGAATGCCTTTTACACATGGCATATCGTATAGAAATAAAAACGTGGCGAGTATGTACATAAAAGTATTTAATTATTTAAATTATATATCGAATAATGAAAGTGTATTTTTAAAGGTTAGTTCATTAGTACATAAACAACAAGTAGCAGCAAAAAAAAAGCATATCCAAGAAAAGTTTCGATCGGAAATGGGTTTACTAATAGATATCGTATTACAAGGTATTAGATATCTTTAAAAAAATCAGTCCAAATCAAATTTTTAATATCAGTAGCTAATTTGTTTTATTTTTGTCATTTAGGATCTGGCACAACTAATGACGGGAATACTGCTAGAAAATTTTTCTAGGAGCCTAGTAAATCTGCATAAATCACTGGAGTCGATGAAAATCTTATCACTAGATTTAGTTGTATTTTAACTACCATATCTTGTGGTCATAAAATAAATCATCAAAAATTTGATGATTACGCTAAAGAAACAGCAAGATTGTTTGTGCATTTATATCCGTGGTTTTATTTACCAGCAAGTGTTCACAAAGTGTTAATTCACGGAGGAGATATTATTCGTGCTGCTCTGTTACCAATAGGTGGATAATTTCAAAATTTTACTAAAATATATAATTCTACTAATATTTAAAAATGTAAATACGTTATAACCTATTTTTTGGTAATAGGTCAATTATCTGAAGAAGCTGCTGAAGCATGTAACAAAGAGTATAAAAGACTGAGACTTCATCACACTCGAAAATCATCCCGCATAAATAGTAATAATGATCTTTTCCAAATGATGTTAGTGTCATCCGACCCACTAATTTCATCCCTTCGGAAGACATGTAAAAAGAAAATATATGAGCTTTCTCCAAAAGTTGTTAGATTTTAAATCCAAAGATGAGAAAAATTGTTCAAATAGTGATACCGATGAAACCGATGAAAATAGTGACTTAGAGTTTGATATAAGCAGTGTAAGCATGTAGATAGTTTGTATTTGGATTTTTGTTAAAATAATGAATAATAATAATAAAATGTGTATTAAAATAATTTTGGCGTGCTAAAATTTCTTTTATCCCACTGTGCGGCGGTGGCGGCTGTTTGTTTGTGCAACGGGTATGGAAATGGTCTAAGCGCGATTGGTGTGGGGTTCTTTAACATAATTTCATGTTCAATTAGTTTGGTGCGGCCTACCTTATCGCTGAATACTACTGGATATTTATTTAATACTGCAGTAAGTCTCACGCGAAATTGTTGGTCGCCCCCAATTTCTATTTGAGTTAAATCGGGTGTCGCACTGTGCGGCTGTTGTTGGCCCTTCCAGCATGTCGACGTCCTAATCTGAAAACCCATGTGAATTGTACATGCGGCGTAATCCCAAGAGACTTCGTAATTGACGAGAAGGTCATAATTATTGACATTTGAGGGTCGTTTTTGAGCTAAGGGTAATCTGCTGTTGATTTAACATTAAGTTTATAATTATTAACACTCATAAGAAATTACTTATAACCTGTTCAATTAGTTGTTATAACATCAAATAGTGTCAATTTTAACTTCAGTCTATACTAAAAATCAGAAACTCTGAGGTCAAATTAACATGTCTATGAGTTTAATCAAATAGTAGTTCAGTAGTTGAAATTACTACATCTAGTGTTAAAACTAATACTAAATGCTTTCATTTGGACATAAGAAACTTTCAATTTAACCATGTTATCTTGTAATTCAAACTATAAGTATTTGCTTATTTAAAATAAAAAACTATTGGAATTGTCTATCATTAGTTTGATACTAGTACTAATTTTTATTTCAATATTAATTGATTGATTACTTTTTCATAGTATATGCACAATAAATAGCAAAATAAGAGAATTGTGGATAACTTTTTTTAAACTTACTATTTTGTTGAATAAATAAATTATTTTTAAAAAATATAAGGAAATAAACTAATACAAAATGTATGTACTAATAGTTAAAAGAAAAAAGTTGTTTATTATAAATATATAGTAATTACATTAACAATTTTTATGCTACTAA